GCTCCTCCCCCGCTTTCTCTCGGCCCCTTGGGCCCCAGGCGCGCCTTCTGGCCCGACGGCGGCTGCGCGGGCGCGTGGGGCCGAACCCGAGGTCGGTGGGTCGGCCGCCGGCCACGCGCGGCAGTAAAACCCTCGGGCATTTTGCTGGGAAGTCACCTTCGCCACACCCGCCTGCCGGCAGCCGCTGGGGGGCAGGCGGGGCCAGACCTTCCGGAATTCCTCTCCCACCCGCTCAGCAAAATAAAGTCCTTGTTCGCGCCCTGCCCCTGGGCTTAGGCTCCGTCTGATGGGAGCGCTGCAGCCGGCAGCCTGGCCTCCTCGAGGCTAGTCTCGGGGACCATCGGTCCCTTCCCAGCCTCCCTGGGATGCAGTTCGATGAGAGGAGGAACTCAGTGCTTTTTTCCTGGGATCTGCTTTATCTTCGGCATTAGCATTCGGGTTTCAAGCAGCGTTTCCAGGACATCAATACAATGAATAGTTTTCCAGAAGTAAACCTGCCCAGAGCTCTGAAAATCAGCTCATTCAAATTGGAACGTTTTCCCAGAAATGAGAACTTACGGAGAAATCATAAGCCTCGGTTCCCTGCCCCCCAGAAGGGAAGGTAGCCGATGAGGGAACCCTGGTGTAGTGTGGGCACATTTTAAGCCACGCTCTGCTCTCTCTGCAGCAGTGGATGGTTGATTGAATATTTGAGCGTATGAGGCTCCGTCTGTAAGTTTTAGGAGCGCCTAAGGAAAAAATGTCCCGTGTTTGGCATGAACAGAACTCATTTTCCTGGGGGCTTTTTGCATAACTTTTCTTTGAGGTACATGACAGCCCATCAGTTATCGCTCCAGGCAAACACTCAAGTCATTTGTATGCAAAGGCTGGGGTTGACTAAGTTACTCTTTAAAAAAATTGTTTTTAAACAATGATGTGTGAGAGAGAAATAGAGAGAGGAACGTTGATACGTTGTTCCACTTATTTATGCATTCATTGGCTGATTCTCACATGTGCCCTGACGGGACCAAACCCACAACCTCGGTGTATCTTGGTGTTTCAGGATTATGCTCTAACCAGCTGACTACCCAGCCAGGGCTGCTAAGTTACTGTCAGATGGTTTTAGGCCATTTAAAGGGGAAACAGTTACATCTGTGGGCAAGGAATGGGAAGCCGCGAGGCACTCTGGCCACCTGTGGCCCGGCCACTTCTCACTGTTGATGGAATTTGAACCAGACAGATGTCATCCCTGGTTGGCAAGCTGCACCTGGAGTGTGTCCGACCCTCACCCGGGCGGAGCAGGGAGTCTGGTTTTGCCTCTTGCTGCCCCCAGTTGGGAGCCAGGAGGGTATTTGGGAGAGTTCTCACCACTGTTGCCTCCCATCGTATTTCTGGGCCTTTGGGCCAGGGGTTAAAGCGAGGCGATGATCCCCAGTTTGCAGCTGGAGAAAGGCCCTCAGCAGTGAAGTGAAAGCTTAGGGCTAGGAGTTAGAGGCTTACTCTCCTGTGTTCTTTGGGCCCAACTTTAACCCCCTCGCGGGCTGGGTGGGGACTTTCAACCATCTCAGCATCATTTCCCGTTGGTTTTTTCATCCGTGTGGTAGGAAGGTCAGGAAGCTGTCGATGAGCTAGCTAGCTGTTTCTTGGCATTTTCAGCCGTGAGGCGGTTAATTGGTCTTGTAGCCGTTCCAGGAAGCTAGCAAGAAAAAGTCCCTTCACTCGTGACGCCGTTGGTTTCATAACAAGCCCCTTTGCTCACGGTGCTGTTGGTTGCGTAATGGTGGGCCTGATGTTTCTTGGGTGCTTACTGCATGCCAAGCATCGTGCCAAGTTCTTTATACCAATCGTCTCGTTTTGTTCTTATCGACTTGTGTTCCCTCTCTGCGGTGAAGTACAGAAAGGTTAAGTGATGTGTCAGGTCGCACAGCTGTTGTGTGGCCAAGCCAGGGCTGGAACCCAGAGTTCTCACGCTTCAGACACTGTTAGGACCTTCCTGGTTTTAACAGAGCCACTCGGGCTTAAACACAGTGTGTTCCTGACGTCAGAGGAAGGAGGAGAGTGAATCATTGTCAGGCAGGCAGAGTGGGCCGAGGCTGGTTACAGCGGCTGGTGTTCAGGGCCGCTTGACCTCAGGGTGTAGAGCTGCCTCCCTGTGAGGGCAGCGGGTGCTAGAGAAATGGCCTGTCATTCAAACCACTGGTGTCCGGCTGTTAGAGGAGCAGGATCTGTGTCCACACTAATACAGTGTATACGTGTTGCCGTTTGGGGTTGGAGTCACGCATTTTTACAGGGTGTGGGGGGAGGTAGGGCAGGAGCCAGTCTGCCTGATTCAAATCCTATCACCTCTAAGCTGCCTGACCTTCGGGAAGTTACTTCTCCTCTCCCCACCTTAGCTTCCTCTCTGCTCATTCTAGAAATGGGGACAGTCATAGCATTTCTTCTTAGGTTGTGGCGTGATACATGTCGAGCTCTTAGCCTAGCATCTGACACATGATTAAATACTCTATAAAGGTCTCTTTTATTATTCATAGTATTGGTACAAGTAGTAAGTTACAGCTAATGTGTGTGTGTCACGGAGCTTGACCTCACCGCTAGAGACTTATTCCTGTGTGCCGGCACTCACACGCAGAGAGCTCAGACACGGACGGTGGTCTCGTGCCAGTGGAATTTATTTGTTCAGCAGATGTTTATGGCTCACCTTCTGTGTGCCAGGCCCTGTTTTGGACACTGGAGACATGCGTTGAACCACCACAAAAACCTCTGTCCCCATTGGCATGTATGTTCTTGAGGGGAGGGGTGACAGACAATCCTCCTATATAATGAAAGGCTAATATGCAAAATGACCGGTCGCTATGATGCTCACTGACCACCAGGGGGCAAATGCTCAATGCAGGAGCTGCCCCTGGTGGTCAGTGCACTCCCACAGGGGGAACGCCGCTCAGCCAGAAGCCCTGAGCCAGGCTTCAGCAGCAGCACTAAGGATGTCCAACTGCCGGCTTAGGCCTGCTCCCCCCGAGGACATCCCCCGAGGGCTCCTGGACTGCGAGAGGGCACAGGCCAGGCTGAGAGGACCGCCCCCCCCCCCGCCCCAGTGCACGAATTTCATGCACCGGGCCTCTAGAACAAAATAAACACACTTATCACACATTAAAAAGTGACATGTACCGTGGGGAGAAATGAAACAGGGGTGGACTTGGGGGCTGGTTGTTTCCGGTTTTACATAGTCGGCCGAGAAAGCCTCAGTGAGAAGGTGACATTTCAGCAGAGAATTGAAATTGGTGAGGGGTGAACCGAGTGGACGTCTGCAGGAAGAAGTAGGTCAGGCAGAGGGAACAGCAAGGACAAAGGCCCTGGGGCAGGAGAATGGGTGGCTGCAGCCTAGGGAGGGGCAGGGAAGCTGGAGAAGAGATCAAAGAGCTAATAGCTGGGAGGCCAGAATGTGTAGGCCCTGCAGGCCCTTGAACAGAAGAACAACATGATCTGAGCCGCCTGTAAAAGATCACTTCTGACTGCCGTGTTCAGGGGAAGAGAGAAACGGGAGGCCAATTAGCGGGTTTCTGCAGCAGCCCAGACAGGTGATGGGGCAGCCAGGACCAGAGTGGAGGTGGACGGTGAAGAGAGGTGGGTGTTTTTACAAAACTGTCGGATTTGCTGACGCATTGATGACCCGAAGTTTTCCGGCCTGCGCCCGGGGAAGGATAGAGTTGTCTTTTACTGAGAAGAATGGGGAAATCTGCATTTGGAGCAGGTTGGGAGTAAGTCAGCTTGATTTTAAGCGTGGAAAGTCTTGTAGACAACCAGCCAATGGTGTCAGAGTAGCAGTTGGTGTCTGAGCGTGCCGTTTAGGGGAGAAAGTCCAGACTGGAAATGCAGACTTGGCAGAGCAGGCCAGGCATGCTGGTAAATGTGTAACAACCTCCTCCGCAGGGGTGCAGGCTGGTGGGGCGCCTGGTGTGTAGTGTTGGCCAATATCTGCTGTGTAAACACTCCTAGCTGGCCAGCTTCAAGCACTTGTTACAGAATATCTTCCCTTACAGATACAACAGAGGTAACTAATGTCAAGAGCATAGATAATAGTAAAATGTAGTCTTAACTGTGTTTTTAATATGCTTGGTTTAGTTGTAAGTTTGCATCATCCAGTTATTAACAAGGGCTGTGTTGAACAACTGGCTTGAAAAATTCCTGGAGGTTTAGCACTTGAATCTTGTGGGGAGGCTTAAGGGGGCTCCAGCACAGCATTTGGGTCAGGGGGACCCAAGATTGGTACCTAAAGAGGTGATGGGAACAGACTCTCTGAGATTAGGAAAAATGGCCCGGAGTTTAACGTGCTTGTGCGAGGGTTGGGGGAGGTGGCACAGACGGCCCCCCAAGTAGGAAGAGTGCAGGAAAAACTCGAGTTGGCACTTACAGAAGGAACTGGGCACGGCCCCTTGTACTCTAGTTGAAAAGGATCTTTAATTTCACTTGTTTTCCTTCTACACATCCTTTTAAAAATTCCAAAGTCGTGGTTTGAGAAAACCTTCCTCCTTCCTGCCCGGCACACGGAAAGTGGACGCCCAAGGTGTGGGTACCAGCAAAGGTGTGGATGCCATGCCGTGCTGGGAAGGGGCAGGGCAGCAGCCGCCTCTGACCTTTACCCCCTGCTCCTCTCCTGCGCTCGGCTGCTGGGCCCAGAGGACCAGAGCTGCTTCCTCTTGGGCTTTACTGAAACCGCCGAGCACAGCACGTGCCGGTCTGTGCGGGCCTGGGCAGGCCCGGCTGTGCGGTGCCCCTAGCTGCCTCTTGTGCTTGGGAGAAGCAAAGACTGGAACCCTGATTCTGATCCAAACCCTCTGGCCGGCCAGTGTCCACCTTTGCGATGTTAGCAGAGCTGTGCTGTAAAAGGTGAGTCCCCAGGATGCCTGCAGACCCCTCAGTCTGGAGTTGGGGTGCCTGGACCCTGGGCATGTGCCCGGTCAGCCCCAAAGCCCCGATGAGCCACCAGAAGACCGCCTGCTGCCCCTCCCCCAGGAGGCCTCGGGCCTGCCCTGTGCTGTGCAGCGTGTTTCTGGCGAGTGTCTTGAATAATAATTGTTGTAAATGAACTTGCATCTTCTGCGCAAATAACTTACAGCTTCAAAGACTTTTGTCTTAACTTCTGAATGACACTCATTGCTTCATATTTTATTATTATTATCTTTTTATTGCTTCATATTTTAGTCCTGCATTTCCACCTGCTGCTTCGGCCTCAGGCTGTGTCTCTCTGCTAATAGATGGTTACCGCCTTTCCTTGGAGAGCTAGGACTTGGGGGCAGGAGAGTGTGGTGGGTCCTGTAGCTCAGACCTCATTTCCTGGATGGGACGCTGGGGCCCAGCCCAGGTAGGAATCTCGTTCAAGGTGGTGTGGTCGTTTAGCAGCGGGACCCGGGCAAGAATCACCACATGTTCCAGCTCAGTCCCCTGCTCCGTCCAGCCTGCCCTGCGGCTTCTCGAACTTTTCACTAAGGGCTTTCTTGTTTGTTGATGATAAAGAGAAGAGACTCGTAGCAGGGTCAGCGGTCAGAATGCCCCTCCATCTTTCGCGTGAGCTTCAGGGATGTAACTTTAGGAGATTTCTTCCACAGCCCGTTCCTCTCAGAGCAGGGAGGAGGCAGGAGGGCGAGCTTCATCGAAACCTCCCGAAGGAGAGCCTTAAGCGGAGGGGGCTCAGGCCACAGGCACGTGCTGGGGCCACCGAGAGCCCCTGTTTTTCAGTGAGGAGATGTGGACCCTAACTGATGAGGTGACTCACTGTCTGCCAAGCCAGGGTGTGCGGCCGAGCCAGGTCCTCTGATTGAAATGCCTCGCTCCGTCTACACAGGAGCATGGCTCAGGCTGTATAGCCCAGTGGTCGGCAAACTCATTAGTCAACAGCCAAACATCAACAGTACAACGATTGAAATTTCTTTTGAGAGCCAAATTTTTTAAACTTAAACTATATAGGTGTAGGCACATTGTTATTAACTTAATCAGCGTCCTCCTAAGCTGGCCTTTGCTAAAAACATCCTCAATCTGATTGAGGTACGTTCGCTGAGGTCGACCCCTTCCAACTCTCCCATCCACCCTCGTCTTGTATACTTGTTTCAGATAGAAGGGGTTGACCTCAGCGAACGTACCTCAAAACAATGTACCTCCCCCGCGCTGTGTATCCCGCGGCCCGCCTGCGCCTCGTCTCCCGTTGGCTGACCAACCGACATCCCCCGCTTCTTCTAATGCCCCTTCTTCAAAATAGACTCGCCCAGGCCGAAAACCAACTTCTGCGCATGGGCCACGGAGTTGCAATCGCACTGTATGTGCGCGCCCGCACATGGTATTTTGTGGAGCGGCCACACTCAAGAGGCCAAAGAGCCGCATGTGGCTCGCGAGCCCCAGTTTGCCGACCACTGGTCTAGCACAACAGCTGCCTCACCTACAGTTTTCTCCGCTGTAAACGAGCCTCTGTACAGAGCCTCCTCCCCAGGCGTCTGGGGGAAGGTCGAGATGGTGCACTTAACCCTCTGCACACCGTGCCTACTCAGACACTTGCGGTGTTAGCATTAGGCTCTCGGTGGCCAGCAGCCAGCTTCTGCCGGGGGATGGCAAATCCAAGCCTGCTATGCATGCTGCAGCGGGTCATCCCGTCGCCATGGTGAAGGGAGCAGGAGGCAGGTGTGTGTGTGTTGATCTGAGGTGCCTCTGATGCGAGCCATCGCACTAGAGCAGCGGTTCTCAACCTGTGAGACGTGACCCTTTGGGTCGCCTAAGACCATCCTGCATATCAGATATTTATTTTTTTTTTAATTTTATTTTTTATTACAAAGGGTATTACATATCATATCAGATATTTATATTACGATTCATAACAGTAGCAACATTGCAGTTATGAAGTAGCAACGAAAATAATTTTATGGTTGGGTCACAACATGAGGAACTGTATTGAAAGGGCCAGAAGGTTGAGAACCGCTGCTCTAGGGTCTAGACTAGTGATGGCGAACTTATGACACGTGTGGTATAAAATACATATCAAAAATATAAGTCTTTGTTTTACTATGGTTGCAAATATCAAAACATTTCTATATGTGACACGGCACCAGAGTTAAGTTAGGGTTTTTCAAAATGCTGACACGCCGAGCTCAAAAGGTTCGCCATCACTGCTCTAGACTCAGTGCTTCGTATTCCAGCCGCGCTGTTCTAAGTGTGCTCCTTGGACCAGCATCTCAGGCCCCTCCCTGGATCCTCTGCATCAGAACCTGCATTTTAAAAAGATCCTCAAGAGACTCAAATGCACATTAAAGTTTGAGAAACACTGTTAAGGTTAAGCAAACATGGCAAGAAACCAATCCAAACACACACACACCACCCACACTGGCTCGGGGAGGAGCGGTTCCCGGGTGTTTAGCAACCACAGAGTAAGCGACTTGCTGTACTCACTGGTAGTTCTGATTTGTGCTTGTTTCAAGGAGTTCTGGGGACATACACAAGAGGTAAGGGGGCAAACCTGAGAGCTGGGCTGGTCGGGGAGGCTGCAGCAAGAGCTCTGAGTCAGAACCGCGTTACAGAGGGGCCTGGAGGTGGGCAGGCCCGGGCCACCCATCGCCGCTTCCTGCAGTCCTCTGGGGCCGGCCCGGCCCGTGGGCCCCCTCATCTGCCCCCTCAGCCCTGGAGGTCCTGGAGCTCCTTCCCCGGCTTGTACCGGCACGTCCAGAACCCTGGCCGCCACTCGGATCAGGAGCCCCGAGTCGAAGCCTGCCAGCTGGCGGCTCCAGGCTTCACCTTTCTCCTGCTCTGACCTTGCAGCTCTTCCTCCCTCCCCACAGGGGGATTGCCACTGGCGAAGGAAGTGCTTGCGGGGCCAGGGCCAGCAATTGGAGAGCAGGAGAAGGAAGTAGAAGGGGCCCGTGGCTCCTCTGCGTTGGGGTGAGTGCAGGTAGAGGAGAGTGGAGCCCTTGATCCTCAGCTAAAGCTGCCACAGGGAAACGCCGGGGTCCTGGGCATGCTGGTGCCGACACTGGTTGGACCCTCCTCTTGGTTTGGCTGCTAACGGGTGCCGGGTGCCGTTGGGATGGGTCCCGAGAGAGATGAGGACGAGGCAGGGAAAGTGGAGGAGGGGTCAGATGCCCGAGTCAGGAGGCAGATCCGGGGCCTCGATCCAGGGACGAGGCAGGCCTGCGGAGGTCGGCCAGCCGGGCTGCGGGGCTTCTGTCACTTCCTGTGATTGCTTTAAACCTGTTTCGCTCTCTGTAGAACATTACAGACTCCTGGTGTAGATTTCGGTCATCCTTTATCTGCCTGCCATATAATAGGTGCTAATTAGTCATTCTAGTTCCTACTTAAAAAATAAAATGAATAAGTAAAATAAAAAATGTATAGTAGTATATGGCATTGATTTCAGAGAGGAAGGGCGAAGCGGGGAGAGAAACGTCAATGATGAGAGAATCACTCATCAGCTACCTCCCACAGGGCACCCACCAGGGGTCAAGCCCACAACCTGGGCATGTGCCCAGACTGGGAATCGAACTGTGACCTCCTGGTTCATAGGTCGACGCTCACGCACTGAGCCACAC